GGCTTTTTAGTTTTTAAAAGCATGAATTATAATCTCGTTTATTTCAGCGTTGTTCGCCTATATACTGCCTGTTGCTCGACATTTAATTATTATGTCACGACCAAATGAATTCATGTTACTTTCACACCATATTTTTAGCGTAGGTGACGTAGAATATTAATCATAAAGTATGAGCTTGGTGTCATGCTTTTATTTAAGGTTTCATGAAGCTTAGGTATTAACTGAACTGCCTGAGCAATCTGCTTTCTGTTTACGCTGACATTAATCATACATATTTTGTTATAGTAACGGTTTACATAGACGTATGTAAAGTTTTGTGTGAAGAGCTATTTACACGTTAAATGAAGTGATTTCGTCGTTGGTCGAGTGGTCGCAAGTGCAGTTGTCTCTGGTTCGATTCCCGGGTCAGGCAAAGTATTACTGGAATTGTGCCCGGAATATGGCTCACTTCCATTAATATGGGACTCATAACATACAAATAAAACAGTGAAAAGTGGGTGTTACATTGTAAGTAGGTACGGTGGCATTAAGTGTCGTAATGTGCACCTCTGCCTACCCCTTCAGGTATAAAAGGCGTGATGTTATGTTTTTTTTCTTAATCATGATTTACTTAATGCATGTATGTGATATTTAAGTAGGTTTTAAACCAATAACCGAAATTCAGTAAAGGTTTTTTACTATAAACCGATTTATTCAGAGCTCAATATACTTGAACACGGCCCAGTTGTCTAGTCGTGTGGCCCGACACACAACTAGATACATTTATAGAATATCAAAAAACAAAAAATATAACACGTAATCTTAAAAACTTCTACTGAATCCAAAAGTAGGTGTGTAATGTAAAAAGAAACATCGTCAGAAGCTATAATGACTTGAGATTAATAAGTAAAAGTTTTTGATTTCGAAATGTTGTTTTATGAACGAATTTCACCGACATTCTTTTAGATACAGAAATAAAAATATTATAAGATTAAATCCAGGAAGTCTAGAGTCTAGACGATCTCAGTAATGGTATTACAGAACTTGCAATCACATAAAAATATGCTTGCAATCTTCGCCTTCTGTGTTTCAAATTAGTTTTAGTTCGACACTCCTTGTATTTGCTTATATTTTTTTCTAGTTGTACGTATTGGATATCAAGACATAGAATAGAAAAATTATTACATGACCCATCCGCATTATACCTACTCGTTATTGAAAATATATTTTTTATTTTTAATAAATAGATTAAACTGATTTCAAGTTGCATAGATCTATTATATAACATTAACAAACATACCGTGCCATAATTACCCTATTTACAGGGTGGAATTTTTTAATGCCACCTGAAGGGAAAGTTTCTTAATGCTTAAGATAGAAAATTTTACCCAAAGAAAACATTCCTTTATTTTAGAAAAGAAACAAAACTGCATTCAATTTTTTTATATTAGTTGCCTCACACGGTAATCTTACCGACTAAAATCTGTCAAACTTTGCACCCTGTACTGTTATTGCATTGATCGTTCATTGTTTTTCTTTCATTAAATTTATGTTTGTTAGAGAGATTTCATCCTTATTGACCCTAACAATCGATGCAATAAATGTACAGGGTGCAATTTTTACAGATTTTAGTCGGCTTGATTACCGTGTGCGGCAAGCGAAATTTAAAAATCTTAGAAAGCAGATTTCTTTCTTTACAAAAATAAAGGAATGGTTTCTTTGAGTACATATAATTTTCTATCTAAAGTACGTATTAAGAGTTCTTCCCCTTTAGATGGCATTACAAAATTCTACCCTGTAAATATCATAAGTCATCAAATCATAAACTGCATTTAAATTTGCATTTCATATTGCGTGTTTATCCAATTCCAATTATAAAACTACAGATTTGACAAGAGTCATAAATAATAATTCAATAATGAAAATTAAGCTTTATCTACAAATCATAAAATCTAAATTACGTAATGAGACATTTTAATTACATTAAAACGACAACGAATCAATATAAACCAAATGTTATATAAAAAATAATTATAAATTCGACGTTTCATTGCAAAATATTGCATATCTGACCTGAATTTGCTATTTAAAAATAATTTTAATAAGATAGATTATTAAAATGATTTAATAAACGAGATGGCAGTTATTAAATTCCGCGAATGTTGAGCGTAGATGTAATAACTGAAACGGGTTTTATCCGTGTCGAGTTTATTTAATTTTAAATTGTATTTAGTTTCTTCTTATTTGTTATTATCGAAGAATTGACAGTGAACAAGGCTCTCGTTGTAAAAGTTCGATCGAACATTAATTAAATCAATTGCAGGCATCGGCCATTTTTCTTTGTCATTTTTGTTTGCTCTTTCTCTTTGTTCCATACCTTTTGGAGTATGGATATAATTTTATTGAATTTCAGCATCATTTATCCGATACTAGCGACCCGTCCGGGCTTTGCACGGGTTCAATATTAATGTATTATCCATATAAACCTTCCTTAAGAACCACTCTATCTATTGAAAAAACCGCATCAAAATCCGTTGCGTAGTTTTAAAGATCTAAGCATACATAGGGACAGACATACTATGTAGTGATACCTACATACTTAGCGTAGGTAGAAGTAAAATTCATATCCCAATATAATTAACTCATTACATACTTGTTATATTTTATTTTCCATACTCAAGGTTAAGTGCAGAAATTTAAAGAATTTTATACTAATTTCAATACTTTTCTAATAAATTGTCCAAAAAAGATAAATAAGAAGAGTCGTTAAGCAAAATGTGCTTGCGACCAATTCACCGACAATACAGTCAAAAGCTTAGTGCAATTACATATTCATTAGAGCGTTTATGACAGACGATGAAGGCGATATAATTCGAGTCATGCTCGTGAGATATCCAACGTTTATATTCACAATAGCTGTTGATTTCTATATAAATAACCAGACACAAAACTTTCTACATAATTGTTAATAGATATTCAAATAAACGACGACGTATTCAAGTCAATCAACGTTATTTATTGCTTTTTAAAAAGATTTATATCTATCTTCACATTTAACATAACATTTTTATGAATTGCAAATTTTATTAATTCCAATCTCCTAATTAAGTAAGAACTAGAAAATACTAACGAGATCTAAAATTTATAGGCTTTTGTAGATTTCTAGAGGAATATAAATCAGGGGCGTGTGTCGGTGGAATGATTATGCAAGTAAGTTTAAGATTATGCTTTCTCTAGATGTCTAAGCATACCTACTTGGAAGTATTTTTTTTTTAAGGGGGGAAAATCATCGAGTGACTGCTCCCGCCTGGGTGAGGCGGAAGGGAGTGTCAGACTCTTACTGACTAAAAACCACCCCGTTCCTTCTCCTGCACGTCGAGCCGGAGCCCCGGTTACCCGTTAGGTTCTCCGCGACTCCGAATCGGCATCGGCACTATTGGGCCCCATCTGTGGTGGTTTGATGGCTCTTTGAGGCGCGCGCGGAACGCGGCGCGCCGTACGCTCGGGTTACTTGGAAGTATAGTTCACTTATAGCTTCTGTCAGCGTTTCCCATGCGATAAAAAGGAGATTAAGTGTTATTCCAGAACATAATATACTGTTTCAAATTTCATCTCGATCCCTTCAGCCATTTTGATGTTAAAGAGTAACAAACACACACTAATATTAGTATTAGTAGGATTATGTCGCTAGTTACGTTTTTAGACCAATGGGTCTTTCGAATTTACAACACGTTAATATTTTTATCGACTTGTAAATAACACAAGCAATTATGTTCTGCCTATGAAGTCTAATACGCTGTATAAAATAAAGTCATTAAAAACTACAAAGTAAGTACCCACTACTTAGTATCGAGTTTAATTAGCTTTCAGTTAATCGACTAACTTAATCATAAGTTGTGAACTTTTAAAGTTGCAGTTACATGTCAATACAAATTGCATACTTAAATATTATTATTGACATAATTAGTTTGATTATTTTGATATAGAAGATAAACAAGTTTATCGAGAATAAAAATAACAGACTTCTATTTTAATAGACCAATTTATTGTCGGCATTAGGTATTTTAATAAAAAGACAACGAAAAAACCCAATGAAAACAAGCAACTGGATCGAATAACCTTTTCTCTTGGACCTCGCATCGTTATTTATTTATTTAACGGTCGAACGCCACAATATTAATCTGAGGTCCTAAAAACGGTATTGACGCCCACGATTTTCATCAAACGAAAAATCTAATAGGAATCCTGTCACATTAACATATCTTTTGCCCAAACTGGTGCTATAAAAACTTTATTCACCGTCGAAACGAAAGTCGACGGTCGACACATGTATCTACGGAATGCTATAAATATACATATTTATACAATAAAGAGTGATAGAGAAATCGAGACGGAACGCAAGTCGCTTGTGACTTTTGACCTTGACATTAAGACAGGTGCTTAAAGTCCTAGTCAATGAATTTATCGCTGTATTTTTATGTTACATTTTTTTTTGTAATTACAACATGGCCACTTTAGTTATGATTTAAATTTAGAACACTCTATACATATAGAGTGTTCTATTCAACCAGTTTTTGCAAAAAGAGTTTCTAGTTTAATTAAAAAACATAACATCATTGCGTAATTTTAGTTGTATCGTAATAAAATCTCGGAGTTTTTATTATAAATAAAAGTTATTATAATAACATAGTTACAAATTCGTTGTTATTTGCAAACCAGGTTTTTTAAGAGAAGCTTGAAATCATGAAACCAAAATCAACAAGAGCCTTCATCCATTTTGTTTATGGTAAACATCTAATGCAAACTTTATAAACTTGGGTAAAGGTTCTCTGAATCCATTTACATTATTTTGTCTGAACTTGACATCATGAAAGAATATCTAGTAGCTCTAAAATTGAATTAATTTGTCAAATAAAATAAAGTGAGAAATACTTCAAAACTTTTAGCGCTTTCAAATAGTTTGAAGTTCATTTAAATATTGACTTAATATTTTAAGATGGATTAATTATTACTATTCTTACCTTGTAAATGCCATCGACAAGTTTTGTCAACTCCTCCGTCTCCATGGCGAAAGATTTTTAATAATCTAATTCCGCAAACAGTTGTGACTACACGAGAAACTTCATCGGGATAACAACAACGTACGAACAATATTCAATTTTAACACTGTACACACAAAATTCACATTTCAATGTACACCCGCGACGGTCTACTCCCTTTCGGTTGTCGAATCACTCAAGCAAACAAATTCACTTTCAAACACATCTGAAACAAAAGAAAACAATAATTAGTTAAAATGTAGGTACTAAAAAAGAAAAAAAATCAGGAAAGAGGTTTCCTATCACAATTTAATTCTAATTACAAATGATTGATACGCAATAATTAAAAAAAAAGTAATGTCAAAAAAGTTATGAGAATACAGTATGTTGTTTTTTTATGCACCTGTCCGAGCTAAGTTGAGGTGTAGAGGCGAGGCGTGCGTCGTACTCGAGGCTCGCCAGTAGAGTCACCTATCGCCTTCACTGGTAGGTATCTTACGAATGCCGATATTTAGAAACACGAAGTAAACGGACTGGTAGTAAGATCAGTACGGGCCCGATGTCTAAACCTCTCGCTATGTTTACCGTAACGCAGCTAGTTTAGAAACTACGTACATTTGTTGGGTCATTTCGAAATGCTTAGTTCAATGATCTTTCAATGTTGTTTATCATACGTGTTGTGTTAATCTTACCTACATATTACCTCCCATTTAGAGATTACGATTCAGATAAAGTACGTAATATGTCTACTAAGTAATAATCGTAATTATTTAGATATATCTTTGATTTCGTAATGAAAATAAATAACCTAGACGTCGAGACTTGTGAGTAAGATCGTGACAAAAAATGTTAATGGTAACTGTTATGAAATGTTCTCAATGCCAGCGTAATAAATGCTTGCATGCAACTTACATTGAATTACTCACTCGTACGTAATAATATGAATACAATAGACAACATTGCCAACTTTCATTTTTGATCACACCCACAGCCTCACAGCTACCAAAAATATTCAGTTCCGTTTCAAAATGCATATAAAGCGGCCAGTTTTCATCAATAGGCGTACCCGCGAACTTTTACTTTCAAGATTTATCCGCATTTTATGCAGATAAAAACATTAAAAGCGTTGTCAAAATGTCAAAGCAAACGAAAGATTTTGATAAGATTAACATAATTGCGCAACGTGAGAGCTTATGCATGCTGCCGGTAATCGTATGCAAGAGCCGTCTCGTCTCCTCGCTTAGATCATTTAATTGAATATCATGTTATTGAAAACTAGCTAACCACCTTAAATGCCTCAATAGCTGTTAGCTCAGTCTTCAAACCTGCTTTTCGTTTGTTTAGAACCAACATTCCATTCAGTCACTTTGCGTTTGACCTCTTTGATCCTTTAGTTTATTGCGTTTTGCTGGTACGTTCCAACACATGATACTTAAAATATTGGATACAAGTAACTTAACTCGATGCATAAACTCCGCGTACATAGTCGAACTTAATTTACATGTCTGACGAAATCCTAATCAGTTTGCGCTTTAACTTGGCAGATGTGCGCGACATTGAGAGAAAGAATATTTTTATTCAGCGTCTTCACGAGCAAGCAAGCGAGCTGCTAAGGAAAAAAGGTCTCGAACTATGTGAAAGTTTTTTTTCGCGTCACATGCCGAGGGAAAATATAAAACACAATTTCTGAGCGGATCCGTAACTTCATTTTGAACAAGAGAGATTTGCGCCCGCCCTCGCACTCCGCCACCCTTGCATATGCAACCGGGGAAACTGCGAGCTTACCACTTTTCTTTCTTTTCCCGTATCCCTGAGGCGCGACGGAGCATGTGTGCACCGGGCGCTTATTTCACTTGGAACTTGTTTAGTCCGGATTGGACTTGTTGTATCCGGATTTGGGAGTTAGAAACCTCGTAAGTAAGGACGCAACACTGTACGAAATCAGTTAAGATCCTTAAAGTCGGTCCGACTTTTAGATTTGCGAAGATTAGGTATAGTTGTAGAGTAAACTGTAAGCCGTATTTGCGAGTTTTAAAGGAAATCTTTAGAGGAATAATGTGATTGCGATATATTCTGGTGCCAAGACAAGTGTGGGTAGGTCGCGGGGTGGTGTGCAGTCGAGTTAGCACAAATGGTTCGCAGGCGACGACGACGACGGTCGCGTTCTGCTGACGAACCTTGTTATCGTGAATATAATGTGGAACTGCACGCCGCCGTTGAATATTCATGTTCGTATTCTTGTCTGGGTTTACAGAACTTGTAGACACTGAATTTCTTGTATTACAAGTGACATGTTTGAATTGAGACAGTTTTGCAAGTCCCGGAGGATATTATAAATCAATTAGACGTGCTTCCAATGAAAGCTACGGGTTAGACTGTTGTTTGTTGGCATCGTTCGTACATAAATATTATACACCTGATACGTTTCACAGGATGTTTGAAAGTAACCTTAATTACGCTTATAGATATTATCAAGCCCTTTGAATAAAACATGTTTTTTGTATCCTGCACAAAGTTGCGACACCCACTAGAAATTGTATACATGAATAAATTAACAATTGTTTTTTGCTAAGATTGTAAGTGTGACAAGTGAAACACGATATCATCTGAATCAGCGAATCGTGTGTATATATTTTGATTGCGAATATTTTGATATTAATTATCGGCATTGTTCATCGCCATTACCCGGCTCAATCAGATTTCGGAGAGGTAATATCTGTGTCCGAGTAACGTGATAGTGTATGAAATCATTCGTCTGTCAAGCACACATGTGCACCAAGTAATGAGATTCCCATTCACTCTTGGGAAATTTCCCATAATGTGCCGTGCGTTTGACGTTGGACTGACACGACTCGTTCGTTCAATCATTCACGACCTTTGTCTACGGACGAATTATTGTTAAGTGGATAATTAAATAGTAGTACAGGGAGAATTACTTTACCCTATAAATCAGAGTTATGTACGTGTTCTTAGATATCCTAATTTATATACTTACCTATGTATGTATGCTCGTGTTTCGGAAATATTAAAATTAAAATAGGAAGTAACGTAAACTTTTAGTGTTTTTGTGGTTTCTTCATATCCCTTTCAGTTAGATATGCTTGTTAACATTTCAATTACTGTTCAGACAACTACCTTCGTTTAGTTATAATTATACTAACGTACTAACATCCTTTTAACTCGTCGAGTACCGGTTTTATAGACACAATTAAAGAACAATAGGTCGCGGTCACCGGTGACCGCTTGGTGTTTGACGGATTAATTATTAATGATATCTATAATTATGTAATCAAGCAGTTAATGAATCTATTTTTAGTCTGCTATAACATCTAATAAGTGTTGAAGAACCATGCTTCGGCACGAATGGACCGGCTCGACCGAATTCGATACCACGGCCTCACAGAAGACCGACGTGAAACAACGCAAGCGTTGTATTTCGTCGTGTGATTGAGGTTACTGTACTAGAGGCTCAATTGCCCCCTCCTCCCCTTTCCCAATTCCCGAATCCCCAACAATCCTCAAATTCCTAATCCCAAAAGGCCGGTAACGCACATGGGCGACGCCGATTGCTTACCATCAGGTGATCCGTCTGCTCGTTTACCGGTATGTGCCATAAAAAAAATGGGGGTTACTCATGTGAGTATACTGAGAAAAGCTCTACTAGTTTCGAGCCACAGAGTATATTCACGTGAGTAGCCCGCGATTTTTAGTTAATTTAGTATGTCTCACGATAAAGTTATTAATTATAAAAACATGCTATAACATCTATTTATGTTTGGTTAGGTGGTCAAAGTTAAATTTAGTAGAATATTATTTAATAGTATTTTAATTTTTCCGCTTTCTTTCTACCACTTATTTTATTGTTGTACAATGTGATAAAACATACAGATTGCATAATCGAATTCTTTAACACAATATTACATAACACTTGGACATGTTTTATCTACGAAACATTAAAAACAATCAAATTTTTTATCTGTCAACTAATTTGTAAAAAAGACATGAAATGAAAGAAAATATGTAATCTTTTTCATTAGAAATATATGTATTTATTTAAGTTAAAAATATTTATTACTATTTTTAACTTAGTTTTTTATTATTATTTTAGTCATACATATTACAGTACAGTAATTTTAATTATGTTCAAATGAATTAGAGACCCAAAAAAATTGTTTTGGCTTTGTATAATTTTTGGCACCCTTCATTTTACCAAATCTTATGACATCCGTCCTAGTCTATACTAACTTATAAATGTAGATAATACATTTACGCATATTAGGTACTACAAAATCTTGAAAATAACCCAAAGAATCTCCTCCTCAATATGTTCTCAGTGAAAGTGAAGTAACAGCTACATCAGGTGTTCATACAACAGCTATGAATCACGATCTATGTTCTGTTATGGCATTTAACTAGCGTTAAATATCTCATAGACTATGACATATGGTTTTATATACGGTTTAACACTTTATTATAGTTCGCGGTCCCAACTTATGATGTAGTAAAAGTTGAGGTAAAGTCATTTAATGTGCATTCTAGTGGAATGTTTACTGTGTCATGTAGATGAGAGTGAAACATATCGATGATGAAGTAAAGTCTTGTTTAAGATTTGTGCTTTACCATGATTTTTTATCCCTAAAAATATTGTCTTTTTAAGTGATTTAGTATGGTGCCAAATAGACAATATGTTTATTGATAATTTCTCAGTACAGAGACTGGAATTATACTCAGTATTTGGCTCCTTATTACATGAGAGTCATAACATTATTGTATTACTTTTTAAATGTGTACCCCTGTCCACCATTCCAGCAGCTGTAGCCAAATGCCACTTAGCGCTTGTCTACATGTAGAATAGAAAACCAAATTATATGGAATTGACGTATATTTTGGCACTTGTCAGTGTCATCCCCATACATTTTGATTTCTACTCTCTCTGTAGACAAGCGCTAAAGTGGCGTTTGGCTAAGGGCACAGGTCTTAAAATCTTGATATTAGGTTAAGTATGTATTTTCATGGACTTCATTGTT